ATCTGAAGGAAGGGGAATATACGAATCATAGTGAATGAAGTAGAGAAAGATTTCCTGAGGAGTCAGCAGCTAAATTCTTTGGGGTATTTTTTTTTATCTGGAAAGGAGGATGCAAGATGCCTTACACCTGCAAAGGAGTTCGGGCTACGCTGTTTGTTCTCAGGACTCAGGAAAGCCAAAAGCTAGTTCGAGTTTAGCCATTTCTGCACGTATCAGGACTAAAACATAAAAGGTCATGGACATTCAGTTAAAAGAGGACTTGGGGATCTTCTACTCAACTTGTGGATGAGGATTCAGGTCCAGAAAGCTTTCTGTCCCAAAGCTGGAAGTCAAGTCAGTTTTAGGCTCACACCACTTTTCTCTTAGTCCTTTCTCTATCTATCTATCCTTATCTCTTCTTTAACTTGGAAGTTCTAAACCTGTTTGAAACTATGGTGGTCAGAAGACAGCTTAAGAAAGGATGCTGGCTGGACTTCATGTCAGAGCTGGGAGCACATCTCCAATTACAAAATGAAAATTAGGAAAACAAAGTTCAATGGAGGGGACTTGTACTTAGACAAATTTTCGTGAGTGCTTCTGTTTCGTGTATTAATGGATTTCTTTATTTTTTGGAGGTTTCCAAATGAAGAGAGTGAAAAAGAACTTTGGTATGATTCCATGATGTTGGTTTCAGTTGATTTTAATTTCTATTGACAAGCTGATTATATACTATCCTATTCTTAAACCCCAACCATCCCATCCCCGAGGTCAAATGGCACCTATTTGCTCTCTGCCTCTGTGTACTCGAGGAGAAGCTGGAGAGAGTGGAAGTTCAGGCATGTTGATACGCTAGGTCTGGAATACTTGGACATCGGAATCTTGATTTGCAAGTCACTCTGGAAATACTTCAAATTACTGTGAGTCAAATTATTTCATTGGTCTTCTAAAGACAAGGTAACCCCAAAAGCATCCCCTAGGACTTAGGCCCACCGTCACTGACGCCAACTGAGAAAAATGAAAATTCCTTCTTTTTATTGACTCATACTCTACCCTTCTTTTAAGATAAAGAAAAAAATAATAACTCTCTTTACAAGAAAACAAGCTCTTGGCACACAAAAGTGCTCTACTGTATTAATTATAACAGTGAACATTGGAAACTATCTTAATATCCAATAATAAAGTAGCGATTAGGTATATCATGGCATACAACATACATAAAGTATTGTACGAGAATCAGAAACGATCATTATGGAAATTGCAGCAATATAGAAATGCTTGTTTAATAATCATACACTGAGTATCTAATGTATTGCAGGATTCTCCCGGGCAGTGGAAGTGAAGGAGTACCTCAGATAACTTGCAGTGTGGTAGAGGAATCAGACGTGAACAATCATTTCAGGAAGAAAGGATGGTGAGGACAGAGGCTAGAGGCGTGTTCTGGGAGCTGTAAGCCATTCAGTACGTCTGGGAAGACAGGGGTGGGAGGGAACTGGAGCTGGAGAGAAGGCAGGGGCCAGATTCATGGGGCCTTGGGATTTATTCTGTAGAGAAGAGGTGTCATTGTAAGTTTTAGCAGGATAAAATACAGGACTACCGTAGTCATATAGCCATTCATTCACATGATCGTTCACTCATAAATTCACGGCTCACTTATTGAGTGTGTATGCATTCATCGTGATAGGTACAGGTACTATAAAGATGAATAAAGCATGATCTCTACCTCTGAGAAGCTAACAACCAACCTAGTGGTAGGACACTGTCATAGGAGAAAATCATTATAACACCCTGGGATAAGAACCTCAGAGGAGCCATCTACAAGGTGTGATGGAAGCACAAAGACAAACGTTTTGGCCGGGAAGCAGGGCATGATATGGTCCAGATAGTCCTATATAGGGGAGGAAACTGTTTTCCTTCTTCCCATCTTAGGTTATTGGCTGGGGCTCTGCAAATTAGACTGACAAAAGACAGAGTAACAAGAGGAAAACGAACAGAAGTTTATTAGTACATGCATTGCACGTATACTACACAGGGGTACTCAGTGATGAGCAGCTCAAAGGGGTGGCTGGAACTTGGGCTTCAAAGAGTCTTAACAAAAGCGCGATAAATGTTTAAAGAAGTGACAAGACAAAGGGAAAGGACTTTGCCTTTCTAGGGCAGCAAAGTGTGGGAAGGTAAATATATGGGGGAACTAGCGGAAGATAAGGGCTAGTTAACAAAGTTTGTTCTGTAGATTTCTCAGGGATGATTACCCCGGTGGACGGGTCGCGGAGCACCTTCACAAACCTATGTCTTGCTTTTAGGCAAATAGGGGGAGGGCAGAGAGCTTTTCTAGTATCTGTTTCTTCTCAATTGCCTTCAGCTCAAAATAATCCTTATGTCAAAGTGGCACGTTTTGAGGTGGCATATTCTGGTACCCTTCGCTTAGCAGAGGAGAAAGATCAGTCAGGAAAACAAAAAAACACATTAAGAATTTCAACAGAGAAAATTGAATATAGGGAATTAGTTAACCGGGTCTTGGAGAACTGAAAACGCAAAAAAGGGAACCTGAGATTTCGTACACATAGTAACCGCAGGAAGTGAGTACCCCTCCCAGGTCTGAGCAAACATGGGGAAGAGGTTGGGCTTGTCAGAAAGTAGAAGCTCAGAGAGGTGCTCACAGCGCGGGGACCAGACCTTGGAGGAGGGCAGACTGGCGGGCTCGAGCTGGTGTCCCTGAGGAAGGTGGGATGAAGCTGCTTCTAGGAGTGCCAGAAGAAACTGGAGACTGGAAACCCTGGCTGTCGTCAGGGGGAAAGGCCATTGCTGGTGACATTACAGGATGGAACAGTCTCTTCGACCCTGTCAAGCCTTCCAGTCTCCCTTTAGCACCGCTTATTGACAGAAACCAAAAGGAATTCTGCCGGCAAAGAGACGTGGTTTGCATAGTTTCAACCCCAGCATCACGAGTGGATAGAGAAAGATGGTTTGGAGCTGACAAAATAGCATAATCTCTAATTTAAGAGTTTAAATCTATAAAGTGGGGAGGCAAGCTTGAAGGGAGAGCGGTGCGGGCAGAAGGAGACCGCGTGTGCAAGGGCATGATGCCGTCAAAGTGCAGCTACAACCACTGAATCAGCCGCAGCTGGAATGCAAAATGCACTGGGGAAGCGTCGAGCAGAAAGGGGCTGTGAGGCGTGAGGGCAGGGAGCGCCCTATTAAAGGGCGGAGCAGGAGAAGTTTTAAATATCTCTTCTTGTATTTTTCTGGTTCAGTAATTCAGGTTTTTTTCACCCTCATAGCCATGAAGAATAGACTTTAAATCTGAGGTTTATTGTCCTAGAGAAGGTGAGTATTTGATACAGCAAAGAACAAAGAGGTCAGTGCTTAGATTTTTGAATTTCAAAATAGTTTTCTAAGTCCTTAGGGGAACAACATAGCCTGAGGGCAAACCCTTTTGCTTTGCAAAATTATGGCTTTCTGAGACAGGAGAAGGTTGACTCGGAACTCCAAAAGTTTTTTCAAGAGCCACGAAACCATAGCTTATTCTAAGGAGCTGTAGAGTAGGAATACGGAGGGTGGGCTGTAAGGCAAGTTCCACACAGACGTGTCAGGTTCCACAGGACAGAAGAAAAGCCTTCAGCAGCTGGGAGGAGGGACCAGCCACAACGTCAGGTTCCAGGGTTCTCGCTGTGTCCATTCCTCACCCCCCACCCCGGGTCAGACCTGGGCTGGGCAGGGAGTGTGTGTGTGAGAACTTCCTGAGACATTTAGCAAGAAGTCTCAGAACAAAAAGTTTATTCCTCAATTCCCCAGCTGCAGCCTGTTCCCACTGCCTGCTCTTCAGAGAGGCCCTGTGTTGACAGGGGGCCACAATGGTGCTTTCTGATGGGTCTGGCATAGTCTATCCCCAAACAATACACTGTGTGGTTTTCTTGTTTTTGAGCTTTACAAAAATAGTATCATACTATCTGTATGGAGCTTGATTTTTCCATACTGTTTCAGTAGCTGCTGTTCATTCATTTACACTTAAATGTAACGCATTGTGAGAATATTCTATACTTCATTAATTCATCTTCTGGTCAATGGATATTTGCATTGCCTCTCATTTTTACTGTTATGAACAGTGAGGCTGTGAACATGGCATCCATTTCCTTAGAGTATATATCAGGAATGGGACTGTTGGGCTACAGGCTACCTGATTGCTCGATTTTATAAGATAATGCTAATGGTGTTCCAAGTTGGTTATGTCACTTACAATTCTCAGTAGTATTTTTAAGAGTTTCCGTTGATTGTATCCTTTCCAATACCTGGTATTGTCTGACTTCTTAATTTTATCAACCTAATGGATATAAAATGTTATGCCATTATCATCAATTTCCATTATCTTAATTATTAAAAACGTTGGACTTCTTTTCATGTGTCTATTTGCCATTAAGGATTTCTCTTCTGTGAAATTCCTTTGTATGTTCCTTGTTTTTTCTATCCAGTCATTTGTCTTTTGATATTGATTGCTAGGAGATCTTTAGATATTCTGGATTCAAATCCTTTGTTAGTTATAGTTGTTGCAAACATCTTCTATCCTAGTTTGTGGTTTGAGTTTTCACTTTTTGTGTGTGTGTGTGTGAGGAAGATTTGCCCTGTGCTAACATCCGTTGCCAATCTTCTCTTTTTTTTTGCTTGAGGAAGATTAGCCCTAAGCTAACATCTGTGCCAATCTTCCTCTTCTTTGTATGCAGGATGCCTCCACAGCATGGCTCATGAGTGGAGTAGGTCCACGCCTGGGATCCGAACCCGTGAATCCCTGCTGCCCAAGTGGAGCACATGGAGCTTTAAACAGGGGGCCAGGCCAGAGTTTTCACTTTCTTTTTTTTTTAAGATTGGCACCTGTGCTAACATCTGTTGCCAATCTTTTTTCTTCTTCTTCTTCTTCTTCTTCTCCCCAAAGCCTCCCCTGCTGCCCGCCCCTGGTACATAGCTGTGTATTTTAACTGTGGGTCCTTCTAGTTGTAGCACGTGGGCCACCGCCTCAACGTGACCTGACGATCAGTGCCGTGTCCACGCCCAGGATCTGAACTGGTGAAACCCTGGGCCTCCGACGCAAAGTGCACGAACTTAACCACTCGGTCACTCAGCCGGCCCCTCACTTTCCTGATGGTGTGTTTTGAGAAGCCTGAGGTAGTCAAATTTATCAGTCTTTTCTTCAATGATGAGAACTTTGTGTATCTTATTTAAGAAATTCCTCTCTACCCTGAAGTCATAAAATTTTCTCCTAACAGTTTTAAAATTTTGCCCTTCATTTTACATTCTCAATCCACCTGTAACTGATATTTCAGAATGGTGTGGGTGGGGATTCAATTTTACTCTTTCCTTATGGATAACCAGTCATCCCATTTATTGAATAATCTGCCGTGCACTGTCCTGCATGTGCACATATCAATGTCCCATGGCTACTCTAGCTTTTTAACAAGTTTTAATACCTGATACGAAAAATCTCCCATTATCCTTCAAGATGATTTGGCTATTCCTGGCCCTTTGCTTTTCTATATGCATTTTAGAATCAGTTTGTCAATTTTTAAGAAATATCCTATTTGTATTTTTACTGGAATTGCATTGAATCCATTCAATCTCAACTCATTCCATTTTAGCTTAAATCTGTAAGACTCCGCTGGAGAAGATGTTGTCAAGATCACCAAAAATCTCCATATTGCTGAATCAAATGAATTTTTCTTCGTTTTCCCTTGCTTGACCTATTATCAGCATTCAGCACAGGTAAGGACTCTCTCCTTTTTGATTCAGTTTTTGCTCTGGGCTTCAGAAACATCACACTGTCCTGATTTTCTTTCTAAATCACTGAACTCTCCTCAACCTTTACAGCTGTCTCTCTGGCCTCTGCCTGAAATCTGAAAGTTGGAGTATTGCAGGGCTGGTTTTCAATTTTCTCTCCTTAATTCTCTTCCGGTCCTGTGGCTTTAAGTGTTGCTATGTACTGATGTCTCCCAGGTATACAACTGACCTGAGCTTCAACCTCATGTATCCAGTTGCATAACTGACGTTTCCAGTTGAACTCCAAATAGGTATTGCAAACCAAATGTACACAAAAAGAACTCTTGATTTCTGTCCTAAATATGACCCTCTCCCAGTCTAAGCAAATACCTCCATCACACACCCAGTTGCCTAACCCTCAAATTAGGATCCCAGTCATTCTAGACTCTTCTCTTTCCCTCATCCTCTGCATCTAACCCATCAGCAAGTTTGTATCCAAACATATCTTGAATCCATCTCTTTACTTGCTCTCCACTGCCATCATCCCAGTCTAAACTAACATCCTCTCTTGCCTTGACTACTGCGGTCGTCTACTAATGGGTCCCTCTCCTTCTTGCCTTGCCATAATTCACTCTCCATTAAGCCACCAGAGTAACCAGAGAGCTAGGACAGAACCTGTGCTGCCTCTGCTTAAAATCTTCCAAACGTTTCTTGTTGCTCTTAGAATAAAATCCAAACTCCTCACCATGGCCCTACTAAGGGCTACGTGGGCTACAAGGCCCTACTAAGCTGACTCCCGCCTGCTCCTGAGTCTCTGGTCACTGCTCTCCTGCAGTTGGCCCTCCTTTAGCTTCCTCAAATTCGCTCAGCTCTCCCACACGCCAGGGCTTCTGCGTGTGCTATTCCTGATATTCAGCTCATTGCATGGTTTCTACCTCCTCGTCGTTCTTCTGTCAGCTCAAAGGTCCTCAGAGGGGCCCTCCCTGACCCTCAAACGTCTGGAATTACTTTGTTTACTTATTGGTTTACATATTGATTCCTGACTAGAGTTAAGTTCTTTGAGGCCCCGGGCCTTGGCTGTCTTGTTTAGCATTACACCCCCAGTACCTGAAACAGTGCTTGGCACGCAGTGGGTGTTCAATAAATACTTACCGAACGGATAAAGCTCCTCCCAGAGGGAGTGTGTGGCGTGAAAAGGAGAGAGGACAGATGACAGAGGCTTATGGAGCATCTTACTTTTTTTTCAACCACTATGCAAAAAAGGGCAGGCAAATGAATCTGTACAGAAAGGAGCAAAGAAAAATGAAAACTACTGATGTGTGTGTGTGTGAGTGTTCATGATATTTCCTTCCTCCTATTACAGTTGTTATGCTATTTGCATAATAAATTCAAATTAGCAGAGAAAATTAACTTCTTCGAGTTCATATATTCTAATAATGAAATGGGCTGTGGTCAGCTTATGAACATAGTTTACATTTATGATTTTGGAAGAAAAAATGAAACCCATAGGAAAGTGTTCATCTGGGTATCCTTTTTTACCTTGTCTGACAATGCAATTTATGCCCCCAATGCTGACGTTACACATTTGCTTTAAAATCTTAAGTAATACTTTATTGCTAAGAATGTAGTTCTTTAATTCATATTTTTCACATCTAATGTATTTTGAAGAAGGAGAGGTTTGAACAATGCTCAATATTATTTCTCTCTCAGCTTTACTTATTGTCTTAGCAGTATTTTAGTTGGGTGTATATCTGAAAATCTGCTATTGCTAATACAACATTCTGTTTAACAAATAGAATATGCTGGAATGTTCAGCAAATGACAATAAATATGTATTTGTATGTTTTACTTATTTATTTAACAAGTCCATACATAATGCTTACCCTGTGCTAGGCACTACTGTAAGTACTTTAAAATATGAACACATTCAATTCAATTCTTATAAAAACCCTATGACGTAGGTACTGCTATTATCCCCATTTTATAGTTGAGGAAGCTGATACACACAGAGGTTAAGTAGCATTCCCAAAGCTCGCCTGCTCACTAGGAGGAGATGCCAAAGCTGACATTAAAATCCAGGCAGTTCTTGCTACTAGGCACTCACTGCAACCGGATGTGATAGTGATTGAAAGCTGGGGAAGTAAATGACAAGGTTTTCTTTGCCCAGTTGGAATGATTTTGCCATACGCTTGTTATTTTGAACAGTTGCTTGTTCTGAAATATCATGAGAAGAGCTATGAACACAGGCAGACCGCTGAAGTATCGTTTAGCACACACAGTCTTCTGAAAGATATCACTAACGTCCCCACGGTCAGGGTCGCTTTGGACTGCTTTGCAACGTGTGCAGTGTACAACTCCAGAGGGCACCACCCATATAGACTCGATGTGAATAGCACCTCATAGAGTTGTTTAGGGTATAAACATCTGTAGTGGCCTTGCCATTGGCCTAAAGATTTATTAGCTATCTCACAGAATGACTTCCAACTGGGAGACCCTTCTCTCTACATAGCCCATTTTCAGTTTTACATCCCTCAAAATTTATTACAAGAGAGTGTATTAAAATGTCACTCTGTGTGCTGGATAACTGTCATGTCTCTTCCATTTTCATCTCGCTGGAAAGAAGAAATGCTTAAATGTCTTCATATATGGTGTACCATAGGGATACTTTTTTCTATGTGAAATATTATGATCTTAAATGCCTTTCTGGGTACTTTGGGAGATGGCAACAAATCTAAGCCAAGATTCCATGAAAGACCAAATCCATTCCCTAGTCCACTTTCCTTTACGTAGTGGTGAGAATGTGCTCTTAAATTTTCAACGTAGTTGACTGGCAACGCTCTAGTTTGGTACTCCCAGTTCACTGAGCTTAATTGGTGTTGTCAGTCCCAGAATGGGCAGAGCTAGAGGAATCGTGGGTACAGGGGACCTGAGTGGTCCTCTGGCCTAGCTTTCCCTTGGACAGATGAAGAGCCTCAGGCCCGGAATGTTGATAGTAGTCCAAGCACACACAGCTGGTTGGTGGCAGGAATAAAACTTGAATCTGAGGGGTCGGCCCGGTGGCGCAGTGGCTAAGTGGACACGTTCCACTTCGGCAGCCCGGGGTTCGCTGGTTCGGACCCCGGGTGCAGACATGGCAGTGCTTGGCAAGCCATGCTGTGGTAGGCTTCCCACGTATAATGTAGAGGAAGATGGGCATGGATGTTAGCTCAGGGCGAGTCTTCCTCAGCAAAAAGAGGAGGATTGGCAGCAGTTAGCTCAGGGCTGATCTTCCTCAAAAAAATAAAAAACTTGAATCTGAGATTCCAAACTCTTACTTTTTTTCTTTTTTCTGCTATATCTCACAACATCCTGCACCCCTGTGGAATACACAAACTTGATTTTGCCTGAGTATTTTAAACCACTGTGTCCCGACTTTATTATTTGCCCTTGTCCACATTCACTGGGACAATCAGCAGAGTCCTTTGAGCATTGAACGGGATCTACTCCACCTTTAGGAAGGAAAATCCACACTAGCTCAGAAATACAGACTGGTGGTCTATTGGTCATCACTCAGAAGTCAGGGCTCCACCACTAATTGTGTGAATTAATTAATTGGTCAGTTAACTTCCGTGGGCTTTCTCCAGTTATGAAATGAGAAGATTGGACAAGTGGCTTACCATATACTTCCAGCTCTTGTATGCCATGTTTCTATGAACTATCATTGTGATTCCCAATTATCTTGTCTTTAAGGTGCATTTGGACCTCTGTTTAGGTCTGGATTAAATGAGATCATATTTTTTAGTAACCTAGTCAGATTTGCTACCTTATTTTTCATGTGTTGCTTTCAGCACTTAGTGCCCTAACCCTCTGATGTTCTGTGCTGTTCTTCCAAATTACCACTAGATATACAGTGACCTGTCTCTCTGCTCTGGCTAATCTAGTCTTACTTTTTGTTTTTGTTTTTGGTTAGGCAAGGTTGGCTGCTAAAATGAGCAGAGAACGAAATCTCCCAGGTAGATTCTTCACAGTCCTAGGGACCCGCCAAGGGTTGCCATGCATAGGACCACCTGCCTGGCTACACCAGGGGTTGGTGCCTGGTCCACAGGGAACTCACAGGGGGCCTGGTTTGAGAACTTAGCGCAAAATAGATGCTCAGGACTAGACAGTGACCAAGAGATTCCAACAGATCCTCTCTCTTGGAGCTTTTGCATAGAATCACAAAAAGTGGGCTGCAGGCTGGAGAGAGCAGCAAAGACCCAGAGGCATGCCATTCAAAGGCCTCAAGCAGAATCAATGAGTTAGTAGAAGCCATGAAGTGAGGAAAAGTTAGTCAGAAAAGGAAGGAAAACAAATGAAGATAGATAGTAGCTGAATCACAATAATAGTAGATTGACTGGAGCAAGAATAAATAAACAAGCCCGAGGCAAAGACCAGATGACCAGATGACCAACCTTGTATTGCATCCAGAAGGTGTCAGAAGCTCCTGCTGCATGTTGTACCATGTTCTAGTTCCCTGTGACACGTGGCCAGCTAAGAGCTGCTTCTCGTGCTCCTTGGTCCCCCTCTATCTTTCTAATAATTTCCAGCTCCTGAAGTATCCTGAGTAGGCCTCTGTACCTTGCCACTTGAAAGAGCCTAAATAACATGGTGTCTTTGTCGAACCCACATCCCAAGCTGTCAGAGTGTCTGTATGGTGTGTGGTGTCATCACACAGTAAGCATTCGGTAGTGTTTGCTGAATGAAGCTGTGAGATGTACAGAATTAATTTGGGAATGACTGAGTCCGTGCTAGGCTGGTGAAAGAGTACAAGGATCAAGGTGCATCCAAAGTTACCTGAAAACTTGTGGGCTGGAGCAGAGTGAAGCCTCGTGAGTAGGTAGGAAGATGGGGTTTACACGGCAAGATCACTGGAAAGGGCCCCTGCCCCAAATATTTCTGTCTGCAGTTCGCCACACTGCCTGAAGTTTGGACTGGGAGGTTACCTTCTTCAGTGGAAGGCAATATCTCTCCAAATGCCACTTAGAAAGTACTTACGTTCAGAGATAAGACAAACAGTAAAGCTGCAATCAATATTTCACGTCCTAGTGTGCATTCATTCAGCAAATCCATTCCTGGACAGCCTCTTGTCTTCAGGGACTGAGGAACTGGGAGTTTTGAGAGTATCGGGTTGTAGGGTAGAGAGGGAAACTTTCAGAGCATGGAGCACTGTTGAGGGAAATTATGGTGACCATGTGGACAACGTAAACTCTGGTTATGCTTGGTGAAGGGAAGAGTGAAGGGAATGGTAGGGATGAGGCCAGGGGTCAAATACCTCCAAGCCTCATTTTACATGAACCCAAGTACCAAAGATGATACCAAAAAGACAATCTTCAAGGATGATGTATGTTGTATGACAAAGATTATAGCCTTTGGAACAAGATCTGAGCTCTGAGTCCATTTTCTACTGCATTTTTATTGGAGTCTCTGGGCCTCAGTTTCCCCATCTGTAGACTGGGACACAATGATAAGAATAATATATAATTCTTCAGAGAGAGGTGGTAAAGACCAACTGAGAGGATGGAGATAAATGATTTTGACAATTGCAAACTGCTTATCCTGCTAACTAGTTCAATCTGGGAGCCGAAGGGGAAGGAGTAGATAAGAATGGCCTTGGCTGATGGTGGGCTCTCCGTGCTAAAACCTTCCCCCACCACTCCCCTCCCTCACAGCGCTGCCTGGGCCCAGGGTGAAATTCATAGACTGACTTTTCTCCATCCCACATCACTGTGGTGGTCACCCATCACTTTAAGACGTTTTTTCCTCATCCTATTCTCAACAGCAATCACTCTTTTATTCCTCATTGGTCTCGCACTTCTAAATTTAATTATGAAATTGACCTTAAAAGTAGTCCATTAGATTCTTTCTTTGTTTTCATCCCTTTCTTTTACAAATATTTTCCAACCGATAGGTATGGCAATTATAAAGCTTTGGTTGCAAGTTATAGAAAACCTGAACCAAGTTAGTTTAAACAATATAGAAGATTTAATTGTTTATATTACAAAATGGTCCAGAGATACATCTTCAGGCAAAGCTTGGTCTAGCAGTAAAATGATGACATCTGGGACCTGGTTTATTTCAGTTTCAGTTTCTCCTTTCTGCCCTCCATAGGATTAGCCTTATTGTAAGGCTAGTCCCCATTGTGGTCCTAAGATGACTGCCACCTGTTTCAGTGTTCTTGTCCATCATCTTTTCTCGCCAGCAAAAGCCTGAAGATTCACTTTGATTGGATGAGCTTAGGTCACATGCCCCTTTGAACAACTCTCTATGGCCAAGTGAGAGAGTGCATTGAATAGTTTAGCCTAAGACACGTCGTCTAATCCTGGGGCTAGAAGTAGACTCAGTTTTTCCAGAACTTCATAGATCCCAAAACAGTTTCTGAGCTGATGAGGATGGGGAAAAATGGATGCTGAGGAGGCCACTAACCAAAGCCTGCTATAATAGGTTAGAAAGAGATGCTATCCTTATATGAAAAGTTGCAGCGGCCAAATGCTTAAAGGTTTTTCCATTTGAGAACGAGAGTGCATGCTGTTTAAACCAAATTTGATGTGTCTAGGGTGATACAAATTGACCTTCCTCCATAGGCATGAAGAACAGTCATTAACCTTTGAATTTTGTGATTTTATAAAGCATTGAATTCCATACTTCAGTGCTCTCATGAGGGGAGTTTTTTGTTTATGTATTTTAGGCATTTTCAACATGCTCTAAATTGAAACAGAGAATGTATTTTTTTTTCCTTCAGCACACTGCAGGAAGTCAGTCTAGCCACAGCAAATCTGTACTTGTTTTTGTGAGAGGATGGGAAGAATGAGTATTTGCCCTGTGG